AGTTTTTCTTACCTTCTGTCTTGAGGCATAAAAGTATATGTGTCTCCTGTTAAAGCATAAAGTATATTTTTTTCCTCCGGTAGGGTTAAACAAACAAAACCAGTCGTCACTTTCACCCGGACAAACAATCAGCAACGCCATCTACTGAGGGCTATTGTTTACACGTCTTTTCTTCCACAACAACAACAATCGTCCCTTGAGAGAGAGACAAGCCTTCCAAACAATTCCTCAACGCTTCATTTTTCTCTCCCTCCACTTGGCGCAGTTGAGCATATGTGGCAGTTCCCAGAAGGCCGGTGTCTGTCATTTAAAATCCCAGTGTCGCCACCTGTTAGCTTCCATTGTTCATTCAGCAATTCTTCCGTGATTATCATAGATTCCCCTCGCTAACATCAAAGAAAATGGGTGAAATATTCTCTTTTTCTTTTTCGTCACTTAGAGAAAATGGATATTGGGACTAATATTTTTTTCTGCCTAACTTTACAAGAAGGAGAGGATGAATTTTGATCTTGGCTTTTGTCGATGTAAACAGCTTACAGCCTTTGATTCTGTCCTGATCGGCTTTATCGGCGTAATATTTTAAACGTGTGAATGAAATTGTTTTCAAGAGTTGTTCAATAAGAGCTAAGAGTCTTTAGTAATCCTTATATTCCCCTATACTTTTTAATACGAGAAGGTGGAACAAATATTGGAATCTTTTTATTTTCCAGGAATATTTTTTTTTTGTGTAGTGAGATTGATGAGTTCTTTCACGGTAGCTTTTGGATATTTCTTACCGTGTGTGTGTGTGTGTGTGTGTGTGTGTGTTAACTTATGTAGGTATTTATTCATGGTATATATACACATACACACATACACACGCGCTCACACAACAAATACAAACAGACAGACAATCAATAATAATCCCCTCCCTTCTCTCTCCCCATCTTCCCCCAACTTGCATATACTCCCTTATATCTCTACCTCCTCCTCCCCACCCAACACCTCCCCTCCTCTTCCCCCCACTATCTCCTCCCCATCCCTCCCTACCCCACTTCTCCTCCGCTTTTCCAATCACCTCTTCCCTACTCTTCCCTTCAATCTCTCTCTAACCATCAATTTCTCTCCCCATCCCTTCCTCCCCAACCTTTACTTGTCTTTCCTGACCACCTCCTCTCTATCCTCCCTTATAATCCCTCCCCACCATTATCTCCTTATCTCCCCTCCCTCCCCACTAACCTCCCCTTTCCTCCTTCCCTCATCTTCCCTCCCCACGTCTCATAATTTGTGAGCGTCTGCATATTACATCGTTCTATTGATCGCTTACTCACCACTCACAGCCCCTCCTCGGTTACTAGCATTTATGAGTTACACACACACACACACACACACAAAATTTCCACACCCTAGCTCCCATTCCCACATGCTTCCACGCCCACACCCCATCCCCTACATGCCTTCACGCCCATACCCCATCTCCACACGCCCACAGGCCCGCATCAGGCACCCGGCCAAGCGAACCTCCTGAATGACCAGATTTTTCAACACGCAAAAATATTCTGTCACCATGACGGCAGATGTATGCAAATTTGGGCTCAGTCCACAGTGTAGTAATACGTTGATTTGTATACCAGTGTGTGTGTGTGTGTGTGTGTGTGTGTGCTGACAAGTGTCTGTAAGGATATGTATGTATGTATGTATGCGAGTTTGTGTGTCTGTATCTGTGTGCACGGTTGTATTTGTATAGATTTGTATAGTTATGTGAGCTGGTATAATCAATTGCTATATGGAGATATGTATGTTTGTATATCTGTATGTATGTTTGTATTTGTTTATGTGGTTATGTAAATTATAAACCTGTATGGGTATACTTTTATTTATACACTGTTATTGTATGAATGTGTAGTGAGTATGTATATTGATGTGTTGTATGTAACTTTGTATACCTCTGTATATGGGTGTATGTGATTCTTTTATAAGTGAGTTAAGTTGTATGTGTGTATATTGGTTTTTTGTAAGTATGTCAGTTTTGTATGCTAGTGTATATCGTTGATTGATTATATGTAGATTTGTGTTTTAGTTGTGTATTGTATGATTGTATGTATAATTGTATAATAATATGTATAGGTGTATGAGAAATTGTTCATAGTGTATTATGAGTGTGTGTGATTGTGATACACTTCTTATCCTCTCTCTCCACACACACACACACACACACACACACACACACACACACACACACACACCTGCCTCAGTGTTGACCAAGCTGCTCAATAATTACTAACAGCGCAGAAGTAAACGCATTCGATCAGGTAAAAAATACGGATTCCGAGCTACGGTTATCCATCCGACTCGGTAAAAACACAACACTGAATACCAGGTGATTATGTCGAGCCGTCTGGTCAAGTGCTGAGATGAGAGTGGGGGGGAGAGGGAGAGTGGTAGGGATGGGAGGAGGGGATGGAAGAGGGGAAAGGGATGGAGCAATGAGGGGGGGAGAGGGATTGGGAGAGTGAGAGTGAGAAGGGAGAGGGGTGGGGCGAGTGGGAGGATGAGAGTAAGATGAAAGGAGATTGAAAAGGAAAGGAAGAATGAAAGGGGAGTGAGAGTAAGGGATCGGGAAATGAATGATGGGAAAGGGCGAGAGGGGTTATGGGGGAAGGGAGGCTAGGGGAACAATTGAGAAAGAGAGAGAGTGATAAATCGTATATAATAACAATGATGACAAAAAATCATAATTCAAGACGGATTAAAATAGGATTATATCGACAGATTATCAATTGATTTTTATTATGGAATTATGAAAGGATTATTTATTAATGGTTAAAAAACAGATTAATTATCAACCAACCATCAACAAATCACTTCATCTTGTTATAATAAGTCTTTAAAAACAAAATTATTAATCAACCAGGTAATATAAAACAGAATTAAAATACCAAAACAAAACGAAAGTGAATATATTTAAGCACACCAATCTGTTCCTCAACCAACCATCACCCTGCTATTCATCCGGGTAACCAACGTAAGAATGAAGTCATAATCCGGCGTTTGCGTGACGTAAGAATGACGTCATAATGAGGGTGTTCTCGTCGGGTAATAACACATCCAGGGTGAAATATGACGTAGGAGGGAGAGAAGGCGGATTCTGGGCAATGATTGGAGACAAGATGAGACGTAGTTTTTGGCTTATATCTCAACATATATTATCGTGATGGAAAGTGTGGATTTATGCGTAAGAGGGCGGCCAGGGGGATAACAGATTAGGAAGGGTAGGGAGAGAGGAAAGGGAGACAAAGAGAGGGGGGGGAGAGAAGAGACAAAAGAATGGTAATATAAAGGAAGAAATTATGAAAAAAGAGTGAAGCAAATAGAGTAACAAGGAAAAGCTAGAGAGACAGACAGACAGACAGACAGAACAGACAGACAGAGAAGAGATATAGACAGAAAGAGAAAGAAAGGCAGAAACAGAGATAAAGAGACAGACAGATAGACAGAAATACATAGAAACAGACAGAGAAAGAGAGAGAGACATAGTGAAGGTGACAGAGTAATGGTGACTAAGACTAATTGAAATAGACAGTAAGAGACAGTAAGATAGAGAGAGAGAGAGAGAGAGAGAGAGAGAGAGAGAGAGAGAGAGAGAAAAAAAATAAACACATAGAGAGATAGAGTAAGAACACAAGAGAGATAGTGAACGAGAGAGAGAGAGAGACAGACAGCCTTTGGCCTCACGGGAACAAAGGTCCTGTCATCATCAGAGGGAACACGTGACATGGCTTCTCCTCTGCCAAGTCTCTCAGGAGTCTTTTGATGTACGTGTAGCTAAGAAGCCTCATCGTAGCCTTCCTAGTATACAATGCCAAGCAAGGTATCTTCTGAGTATGACAGGCCAGGTAGGTTGAAAGGCTCCATCAGTAGAGTGAGTAATATTCTTATGGCAGGTGTAATACAGGTGAGGTCTCTATTGTACAGTGACTGTTTCTCTAAGACGTAATACAGTTAACGTGGTTTGTTATTGTTTTGTTTTTACTCGTAATATATCTAAAACCATTTTTTTTAGAACATCTCATTCAAGTTTTCATCAGCTAAATTTGATGTTCTTTCAAAATCGATAAAAAAAGAAGTAATTGTGATATATCAAATTCCTCCTTCCCCATAAATAATAATAAATTAGTTTTTCTGAGACCCAGTAACTACCCCCACAGTATTCCAGTTCTCATCCAAGATTGATTTCATCTCGTCTACATAAACTCATTAAGACGCTGTTCATCCACAGTAAGTGATAATAATGTCACTTTCAGTCTATTCCAATCTTACCAGGAAACTTCATATCTCGAGCTAGTAATATTAACATTCACATATTCCTACACATTGAACATCAAAGCTTATAAACTATCATTGACAGAGGTGTACATTCAGTGACAAAGTTCATTACATCTCAGATAAGGGTCACTAACGCTCTCTTTCTCTCTTGCCTATTCCAGACTCGGAAGAATATATAAACACGGTCTTTGAAGGAACTACAGATAGATCCACTTCCACAGCCTTCCAGAATGTAAGTAAATTCACAGTCTTCAGGGGCAAGCGTAACGTTCACGGCCTTCCAGAATATAAAGTAACATTTACCCGCTACAAGGATTTCCATTTCGAAAACAAGAACAGGAAAAAAAAATATACCTTCTCACCGTCCCCGTCCACAACCCACTTAACCCTGTGTTCTTCCAGGTCACCTATATCTACCCCTACCTCCCGCTTCCCTCCTCTTCCATCCCTCCCACCCCTACCCACCCCTCCCATCCCTCCCACCTCTTCCTCTCTCTTCCTAGCTCCTTCCAAACCACCAATTTCTACCTTTTCCCACCTCACCCACCCCTTCTGACCTTCCGCGTCTTCCAGGCTACATATATCTACGCCCCCCTCACCCCGCCCATCCCTTCCTCCCTCCCACCCCCATGGTTCCCCTCCACGTCAGTCTATGGAACCTCCCAAAGAGCTGTTTGTCCCTTCAGCAGGTGTACCTCGGTCGGGCTCTGAATCCCCAAGCCACTTTGTCTTGGATATCTTGAGCTCCCGCTGATGGCCCTCCATTGTCGGGGATCCTGGCGAGTCAGCAAATTCTACTGCGGACAGTAAAGGGGATGGAGGAACGGCGAGAGGATTTGTCTTCCATACAGAGACTTGTCGGGGGTTTTGGAGAGGTCAGCGGGTGGTCCAAGTTGCTGGAATCATGATATTGTTGTCTCGGGAGGTGGTTGAAGATGTTGGAGCCAAGAAAGTATTGTCATGAGGGTGTTTGAGGAAGCTGGAGTCATCTTGGGAGTGGTTTGAGGAAGCTGGAGTCATCTTGGGAGTGGCTGTGGAGGCTGGAATCATAAAGTTATTATATTGGAAGTGGTTAAATATTTTGGGAAAACTATAAAAATATTTTCTTTGTGTGGATTACATATTATTTTAGGGCGATGAAGAAGTTATTGTCTTGGTGATGGTTAACATTATTGGGATCACTACACCATTGTTTTAATGAGACTATATGTGGAATAGATTAGCTGGAAGAACCAAAATATATATATTAAAGATCTCACAAGAATGAATATTATCTCAGTTTGACGAATATTTGTATATCTTGTTTATCAGTATTTGTAAATGAACTAAACATAGGGTGCGGTAGGCGAGTGGGTCCCTCTCTGGACTCCTATAATGAGGGTCACTGGTTCGATCCCAAGGAAATACCAGTCCAGCCAGCAATAAATGGATACCTTAACCTTACAACTAGGGAAGAGAGGTTGGTCGAGTGTACTGCCTCCCTCCCTCCCTCTCTCCCTCCCTCTCTCCCTCCCTCTGTACCCAAGGCTCAGTACATAGATGGCTGTATCCTAAATTTACCTATGGGATGTACTTTCACTTTTCAAATTAAATATAGAATTTTATTGTTCTTTACCGTTGTTTCTTTTAGGTTTAACTTTTACTCATTTATGTATAATTTATTATCAATGTGTTTTCTTTACCTTTCACTCTTATTGTTGTTGTTCTGCTTCTTGTTCTTGTTCTTGTTCTTCTTTATCTTCTTCTTCCCCCTCCTCCTCTTCACCTATTCACGGCGCCCATCCTTCCAGTTGCTCATTCCACCTCACAGTTCCCCCATCGTCTTCCACACCATTTTCTCCCCCAAGTTCCCACGCAGTCATACATCAGTCCACAGCCTCCTGCCTTATAGCCTATGCGGTCATTCCGGACGTCCTGTAGTGGCGGTGTTCTGAGCGACCGGGCGTACGACTGGTGGTGGCAGGTCCTTTATGCCTGGCTGGAAGGGTCTGTTGACATACTGATCTGTGGGGCGTCTCTCCAGTGTGTCTCATGTTTGTGGCTCCGGTTCTGTAGGGATTTCTAGAGGCGTATATCTCCTAGAGTCTCGAGGAGAACTGATCCTTGAGTTATCTGACCCCTGTGAAGAAGGAGTTTGGGATATGTTTCTCTCTACCTTGAGGGCTGTTGACATTTTGGAGGGCTGTTGACATTTTGGACCTGTCTCCCTCTCCTGTGTCAAGCCGCGTTCGAGTCTCATATTCCATTTCTCTAAGACATATCCGACGAATTACATTACGTTGAACTTTTCTTCCTAAATAACTAGTCTCCAGAGTATATGATTCTGCCTGACTCCTGTTTATATCTGGTTTAGTACAGTCTCGACAGCCTTATATCTCCTGGGTTTGATGTGATCTTACCCCCACAAGGCTTCTCTCCTACATAAACACGGGATTTGTATGCATAGTGATGACCTGTTCTTGTCAAAGTCGATATTTTGTTGGTATACTTATCTTGTGGGGGTATCATGCTTCGTGAGGTGTATTGATGTTTGGTTCTGTGATGTTTATATACTAATGTTTGGTTCTGTGATGTTTATATATTGATGTTTGGTTCTGTGATGTTTATATATTGATGTTTGGTTCTGTGATGTTTATATACTAATGTTTGGTTCTGTGATGTTTATATACTAATGTTTGGTTCTGTGATGTTTATATACTAATGTTTGGTTCTGTGATGTTTATATACTAATGTTTGGTTCTGTGATGTTTATATACTAATGTTTGGTTCCGTGATGTTTATATACTAATGTTTGGTTCTGTGATGTTTATATACTAATGTTTGGTTAGGTTATGTTTATATACAAATGTTTGGTTAGGTTATGTTTATATACTAATGTTTGGTTAGGTTATGTTTATATACTAATGTTTGGTTCTGTGATGTTTATATACTAATGTTTGGTTCTGTGATGTTTATATACTAATGTTTGGTTCTGTGATGTTTATATACTAATGTTTGGTTCTGTGATGTTTATATACTAATGTTTGGTTCTGTGATGTTTATATACTAATGTTTGGTTCTGTGATGTTTATATACTAATGTTTGGTTCTGTGATGTTTATATACTAATGTTTGGTTCTGTGATGTTTATATACTAATGTTTGGTTCTGTGATGTTTATATACTAATGTTTGGTTCTGTGATGTTTATATACTAATGTTTGGTTCTGTGATGTTTATATACTAATGTTTGGTTCTGTGATGTTTATATACTAATGTTTGGTTCTGTGATGTTTATATACTAATGTTTGGTTCTGTGATGTTTATATACTAATGTTTGGTTCCGTGATGTTTATATACTAATGTTTGGTTCTGTGATGTTTATATACTAATGTTTGGTTCTGTGATGTTTATATGTTAATGTTTGGTTCTGTGGTGTTTATATACTAATGTTTGGTTAGGTTATGTTTATATACTAATGCTTCTCTCTGTCTCTCTCTCTCTCTCTCTCTCTACTTACAATATGTTGACAGGTCATATCCGCCTCAGCACGAACCTGAAATAGAAACATGAGAGTTACATTATAGTCATGTACACAATAAAACGAAGATGAAAACAAACATTAGCTCAGACAATACAACACCTCTCATCTGCCTTAGTTATAGTTGTTTGTGTGTGTGTGTGTGTGTGTGTGTGTGTGTATGTGTGTGTGTGTGTGTATGTGTGTGTGTATGTGTGTGTGTGTGTGTGTGTATGTGTGTGTGTGTGTGTGTTTCCCCCTTACTTGATTATGATTATTAATTGCTATGTTTCCTGATTGCCGTACTTACAAATAACAATGATTACTAATAAGTATCATTACCACGTTGGTTAAGTACCGTGATTGCTATGATTATCGTGATTGTTGCCGTCCAGAACAAAGGAACTGGGAATGAAACACCAAGTATTCAGTGGTTAATGTCCACCACTTGTGCATGACAGTAGAGGGGGCGGTGTTTTTGAATCTAAAGCATGAAGTGTAAAGAAAGTACACTGTATTAATTAAACCTTTGATATTACGTACACTTATATACATGCAAGGGATACGGTGGTCGAGTAGATATAACTTACTATCTTAAAATTGACTAGTTTGTACCCGGAGCGCCACCCAGCAGTGAGTGAGTGCCTAAATTTACAGTTTGGGAAGAGTAAGTGATCTAGTACAGTTCCGGAACAGGTTTTGGTTACGGTGTGCTGTATCTACACTATACCTAACACACTGTCAAGACCACTTTCACCATTTTCATGCATATACATACAAAAACACATACAGTATATACAGTTAACCATGCGGAATATGCAACGAAATGCTCTAGTGCATGGAAACGTGTGAAAGCCCTTCCGTAATAAACAAACGGAGGGAGTTTCACAAGTCTGGATACAACATAACATTTTGTTGTAAATTCTACTAGGCTGACTGTCCATTACATGCAATTAAAAATATTATTGATACATATAATCAGAATTACACAGAAAAACATGCTCGTAACTGCACACACACACACACACACACACACACACACACACACACACACACACACACACACACACACACACACACATCTCCCACTCATATTGTTAACTATGACTCAAGTAAATGTATAATAATTTACCCAGCAAGACAAAGGCTATTGAGATCGTGGCCATGAAAAGGTTGACAAGTAGAGATCAGTTTAATTCTTTTCTAAAGGGATGACATTAACCAACAGATAATTAATGTGGACAAAAAACAAAAATTATATACTTTCTGAACTTATTCAAATCCTAAGGAACTTACAGCTAATTATACGCTATAACTACCCTCGTATACTTTATTTATCTACCAGAATTTATATAGGAGAGAGAGAGAGAGAGAGAGAGAGAGAGAGAGAGAGAGAGAGAGAGAATACGGGAGGATTGGAGGAGAGGAGGTAGGAAGGTATAGATGATAGAAGAGGGATTAAATAAATGATAAAGATAAGTGAAGAGAAAAGATTAGGAAGGGGAAGTTAGATGAAGTTACATTTAGTTAGGTTTGGTTAGGTTAGGTTTGGTTAGGTTTGGTTAGGTTTGGTTTGGTTAGGTTAGGTTACACTAAATTAGGTTAGATTATATGTTAGGTTAAGTTTTGTTAACCTGTGTTATGTTAGGTTAAGATTTGATATGTTAGGTTAGGTTATGTTAGTTTTGGTTAGTGGTTAATAGGTAGTGGTTGAAGGGATAGTGGTTGAAGGGATAGTGGTTAAGGGATAGTGGTTAAAGAGATAGTGGTTGAAGGGATAGTGGTTGACGTCATCACAGTAATTATAGCTGTCCCAAGACCCGTAACTTAGCAGCTAAACGTAGTATAACACGCTTACATTATGACCCTTCAGACAAAATTGCTTCCAACGACAAGTGACCTAAGTTGTTGTATCAAGATTTACTCTCTCCTAGTATTTTTTTTGTGTTTTGGGGGGAGAGGGGGTAAGAGAGGGGTAGGGGAGAGAGAGGGGTAGGGGGGGAGAGAGGGGTAGGGGTGAGAGGAGGGTTAGGGGGTAAGAGGGGTAGGGGGGGAGAGGGGTAGGGGGTGAGAGGGTAGGGGGTGAGAGAGGGGTAGGGGGTGAGAGAGAGGTAGGGGGGGAGAGGAGGGGTAGGGGTGAGAGAGAGGTAGGGGGGAGAGAGAGGGGTAGGGGTGAGAGAGGGTGGGGGTGAGAGAGGGTAGGGGTGAGAGGGTAGGGGAGTGAGAGAGGTAGGGGGGTGAGAGAGGGGGGGGAGAGAGAGGTGGGGGG